GTAGCCGAGGCTGAGCTGCTCGTGCGCAGGACTGGGAACCAGGCTCGTCGTTGACTCCTCACTCGAGGGTATTTTTACTTTCTGTCTTGTCTTTTGTCTGAATGTATCATGTCTCCAGTAACAAGCCATGGGGTGTACTACAACTTGTTTACTATGTCCAAATTACCTTTTTGTTTCGGTAGCCCCCAGGATGCTTAAGTTTTCAAGGCTTTGTGGGTTTGTGTGTGTGTTTTTTGTTCCCCCGTAGCTGAGGCATAGGTTGTAGACGTTTGTGTGTGGAAAGGCACTTTGCTGCCTGCGTGGGCTCCTGTTATGAGAGGGCGGGGATACAGTCCAGAGAAACTCCTGTAGGTGACTGGTGTCACATGTCTGTTTAGCTTCGCTGTTGACACGCACCACCTGACCCTTTGTACATTGACTATCAGCTCCTCTTCCTGTGCAGAAACCTCAGATGCTACCACATGGTGTACCTACCGGGCAATTCCGCCAGTTGTACTTCATTGAGCCTCTAGCCCTGTAAGTGAAATTCCGCCCCATCACTACTATGCAGACAGTCTACTGTCCTCTTGTCCAGATTTCTCTGTATTGCTTTAAGCACCCTCCTTATGACAGCACCAGAACTTAATGCTTTAAGTCTTTAAACTCCTCCCACCATCTCAGCCCCACCACCACCACCACCACACACCTTCCCCCACCACCACCCTTAATTTTAAAAATGCGCTCTTAAGTTCTGTGTCCTAGTTGTCCTTGTGATCTACGGGGCCAACTTTACAGGCAGCTGGGATAGCTGCTTCTCTTCCTCTCCTGGCAAGTGTGAGTTCATTTGCCCGCTCCGTTAGATGGCTACTAGCGAGGAACCAAGGGGGGTGTGGTCACAGCTGGGAGGTGGCACATTGGAGATGTATTGCCTAGGGGGACCATCGCCACTGCCAGCCTCTGCTCTGGCTGCTCTGTGGGCCTCTGGACTCTGGAGGGCGCCTGCCCAAGCCCGAGTCTGCCAGAGACCTCAACCCAGTAAGACGACTCTTGAGTTGCTCCTGCTCCGCTCTTAAGAATTCTGCCTCTTTTTGTTACATAAACAAAATGTCTGCTTTCTCTTTGCTTGTTATTTTTTAACCTCGTCACTGTTTACAGTTGTGTGCTAAAGCCTGAGCTATTCGTGTCTGTGCCGTGGTGTGTGAGCATTGCCAATTTTATATTTATTGCCGTTGAAGAAACTGAAACTATGAAAACGCAGAGCGTGTCCAGCCTCCCGAATCGGTGTAGGTGCATGTGGGAGAAATGAGTTGGGGCCTCTTGAAGTGAAGCCTTCTGGAGAGGGGCCCCTGGGTTTCCCCTTGGGGTCCCGGCTTGGGGATCAGTGCTGCTAGCTGACTGTACCTCCTCCCCGGAAGTTTGTAAATCTGCTTTGGCGACGTTTCATTGACTAGTAGAACTCATTCTGTTTTAGTGCATATTTCAATATAAATGGAAACATTTCACTCCAACCTGCTGCTGATGTCCTCATTACCGTTCACGGAACCACGGTTGGGAGTCGGCCGAGGAAGGAAGGCGTGTGTGGTTGTCCTGCCTCAGCCATGTCCTCCTCTGGCTGCTGCCCTGGCTGTGCCGAGCTGGCTCTCACCACGCAGCCTGTGGAGGGTGACTCAATGCTAAGTTTTCAATGGGGGGGGTTGGAGGGGAGGTGATGCACAGGGGTGGTGCAGGGCAGGTAGGAATCAGGGCGCTGCCCATCCTAAGCGGATACACTGGAAATGGTCTAATGTTTCAGGTTGGTCTAAAAACGGATTTAACGCTGCGGTCCTTTTACTAAATTATGATTCCCCACCCCCCACCATAGCACTCTTGAGAATTCATTTACTCAGGAAATGCCCCAGCCCCGCTGTTTGTCATCCTCACGTGAACAATTGTGAATGAAGTCCAAACTCGGGCCCCCATTGGTCCATGCACAGCAGACTGGAACAGCCAGCCCTGTGCCATCTTCCCAGCCAGTCATTGCTGTGGCAACCACTGTGACAACACATCTTGTGGAGGGTCTTCCTCTTTGTCACCTCATACCAAAAAGAAGCAGGATTTTTTTTTTAATTTTCCTTTCGTTTGTACGTTTCAGACTGTCGCCTTTCTGACTCCCCAGCTTGAACTCGGGCACTTGAGACGAAGTGCACTGTCCTGAGTGCTGTACGTCCCATGTGACTGGGCTGAGAGCCCCGGGGAGGCTTCACTGTGTCCAAGATCAGTCTTATACTTGAAGTGATTGAACTGGGATTTCAGCCCAGCTTTGTCGGAGTTGAGTCCTTGACACTGCCCGTTCAGTCTGAGGGTTAGATTCGGACTCGCTGAGGTCCTGACAGGCTCGTAGTTTCCCAGGAGCTGAAGGGGCTGCCTTCCCACGTCCAACAGATGAAGCTAAAACCCACTGCTGTCCAGCTGATTCCACTCTGTTTCTGAGACCAAGTCCTTGTGGTGGCAGGTGGCCTTTTCTTTCTCGTCCAGTGGGTTTGAACCTCCAGATTGGCAGTTAGCACGGCCGCACTCTGCACCACCAGGCACTCTTAACTCCAAATCAGACATCCTGCCAGCAAGGCAGAGCTCTGGTGGCGCAGTGGTGCCTATTTGGGCTGCGAACGGAAAGGTCAGCAGTTAGAACTGTTAGGTAGTTAGAACAGGGACTAGGGTGCCCACTACATGTGCTCAGAAATTACCAATAATTACCATATACCAATAAGGAGAATAGATGAAAAGACAGACACATGAGGATGGGGCCGTGACAATACATTATGCGTGGCCCGGAGAGCTGGTTCCGGCACCATCCGCCAAGGTGTTTTAGCTTCCTTTCCAGCAACTCACCGTCTCCCGAGGGTGGTGAGGTGAACAAGTCCAGAAGGTACCCGAAAACCAGTGAGACTAGGATGTGGGGGGGCCGCTCCAGGAAAATATCTGGCACCAGTTTACCTTTTAGCTCTGAGTCCAGCACCAGCAATGTTAGCTCTCTCGTGGGAGAAACATCTCAGTCCTTTGCTTCCTGCGAGAAAGAATTCACTCCAAAGCCTGGATTGTGATCCAAGTGAGTTATATAGGATAGAAGCTTCAGGTCTACACGGGCACCTCAGGGCACTCAGCCCGCAGCACGTGGAGATCACTGCAGGGCCTCCGAGGAGCAGCTGGGAAGCAGAAGAGGCTGCAGGCTCAGGATTCTGGCTTTTCAGGTCCTCCGCTAGGAGGCATGTTTAACAATACTGGTGGACCCTACTGGCTAAATTAAATTCACCTGGCCTAGATAGGGCCAGTCCAGGTGTATCGCCTACCTAGGTATACCACCCATTCCTGGCGGGGAGCTCGAATTTCTGAGCATGCGTAGTGGACACCCTAGTCCCTGTTCTACTTACCTAACAAAACTACCAGCCACTCTTCCAGGAGAAAAAGGATGCTTTCTACTTTGATAGAGCTACAGTCTCTGAAACCCACAGGGACAGTTCTACCTTATAAATCGGCTCTTACCTGTAGTGAGCAGCCCTGTGCACCACAATGAGACTGCCCGTCGGGCAGCATCCTCACCATTGTTGCTGTGCTCGAACCCATTGTTGCAGCCCTGGGGCCAATCCATCTCCTTGAGGGTCTTCCTCTTTCTCGCTGCCCCTCTACCTAATGTGATGCCCTCCTCCAGAGACTAGTCTCTCCTGACAACATTCCCAAAGTGTGTAAGACAAAGTCTTACCCTCCTTGCCTCTAAGACGGCAGTTTTCAACCTGTGGGTTTTAAGAGCACTTTGGGGGTTGAACAACCTTTTCACAGGGGTCACCTGATTCATGGCAGTAGCAAAATTACAGTAATAAAGTAGCAATGAAAATACTTTTATGATTGCGGCGGGGGGGTGGGGGTGGTGGTCACCACATGAGGAACTGTATTAAAGGGTTGAAGCATTAGGAAGATT